CCAATGGTCGTCTTTGATCGCTCAGTCCTCCCCTAACGTCGCGAGCCTCATATGTCTCAGTAAGGGTCGCGATTGGTGGTCCATCCTCTGTCGCTGGCGAGTTTGAGTTGTGTGGTGTCGCACCCTCGGTCTGCGTCTGGTGGCTACTCCTTGGTAGCGGACGGTCCTCGATTGAGGGTGGGAAGCCCTCGATCTTCTTCTGGTTAGCGATTTGGAGGTCTTCTCAGACGGCTTCGTTGTTCATGGTGGGGCTTCCGGTGGTGTTTTGGGCTCCAATCGTCGGTGGTCTGCAGTGGTGTTGGGAGGCGCGTGGGTCAGCGGGCGGAGCGGGACCCAGTTGTTGCGGCAGATCCTGGTGCGGCGGTCGGGGTTGAGGGACTACACCACCCTCACCCTCCCCTGTTCGGCTAGTGGTGTTAGGAGGGCTTGGGCGGGACTGGTGTGGGGGCAGGTCGAGGTTCCTCTCTCGGTTGATGACGGATCGATTCGTGGATTGGTCCGGGGCTCAGCTTTGGCTACTGTATAGGCATTCACGCAATTTTGATAGTGTTTTCTTGGACTTAAAATCTTTCTTGTGTCGATTGTTCACTGCTGGTTGGGTCGGTTTCATTTGCTGGGGAAGGGCTTTCTGTGTTTATTTTAGTTTCTTGTTGTTCTTGTTTTGTGTCGACCGTGTCTGTGCTTGTTTGTATTTGTAATTGTGTTTTAGGTCTGGGCCGTTGGCCTCAGTTAGCCCGAGTGTGACCTTATTAACCTGTTGGGATTGTACACTCATGCATTACCCTGTTGGAGTTGTTCTTTTTCTTGTGTCCTTGTGTTTTTCTTGTGTTCCCGAGTATTACATTGTTGGGGTCAGTTCTGGGCGGTCTTTTGACATATCCTCCCATTTTATTCACCTGTGGTCTGTTTGTATTCAGTTGTTGGTTGTTTGTATTCTTGTGGTTGTTCTTTTTTGCACATTTGTACGCTTTTATATAATATCTCTATCGTTTCGAAAAAAAAAAATTGAATAGTGTCATGTATACATCAAAAACTGATTAATAATATTCATATTCAAAAATTTGATAGCAAATAAATGCATTTGTTTGCACTTTAGTTTACTTACTATTATATAGTTTGAAAAAAACTTAACCTAAAAGTCCAAATCAACATATACTACTTCAAAGCATAAAAAATTGACATATATGATTACCAAGCATCAGAAATTAAAAGTTTACACACGATATTACCAAGCACTAATAATCAACACACAAGACAAGATTATGAACTAATAAAAATTGACACATATAATTAAGAGGAAATTACACCAGCTACCATTCAAAACAATTTTATTTGCACATTTACTAATCTTTTAACTTTTTTTGTAATTATACTAGCTATTAAATTTTCTCTCTCCAATTAAAACCTACTATAATAACTTTTAAACTGTAAAAGAAAAAAAAAAGAAAGAAAAAAAACTGTAAAAAAGGAGATCGATGGAGACATAGAAAACGGGATTCGATAATGATAGGGAAAGTGGGCTCAATTCTCGAAGGTGGACACCGGCGGCAGAGGCGAGAGTTTAGCTCGATTCTCAGAGGCGGAGGTCGGTATCGATTCTCGAAGGCAGAAGTCGGGGGCGGAGGACGAAGGCGAAGGTCGATCTCGATTATCAAAGGCAGACGGAGGCGGAGGTGTGGATGAAGGTCGAAGTATCAGAGAGGCTGTTTGAGATTGAGAGAGTGAGAG